AATTATAATGAATAAATATAAATTTAGTTAATATGAGAAATAAGTAAAAAAATTCATTAACTTTAATAAAAAAGTAAGATTAAAAAAGCATCACATATAAAAAATTTAAGTAAAATAAAAAATGTAAGTAAAGGAAAAATGCAAATGAAAGGAAATTAAATTAAACCTCGAAAAGTTAATTTTTCAATGCACTAAACTAACCGAGTAAATTAAACACTATGAAATAAAAAATAAAACAAGAAAATAAATAAAAAATAAATTGTACAATCTTTTCAAATTTTTAATTAATTTTTAAATTTAGTTTTAAGCTTTAATGAATATTAAATTTCTAAAGCACAAAATTTCGTTAAAATCAATAAACCATTTATATAATGTATGACTCATACAATAAATTCTGTTTATTATATGAAGAAAGATTTGTTTATTATGCGAAATATCATAAGTAAAACCTGAGAATCTTAATTTAATAAAGTTCATAAACATTTATATTAAACAAAAATAATTTTTAATTGAATTCATAATTACCTCAGCAATCTTACGAGTATTGCACGAAAAAACAAGAAAAAACGTTGACTTTGGCTGCACCGAAGCTATAATAACCTTCACAGGCGCTTTTTAAAGGGGTATAAAAGAACCATACTTGATTTTGATCGGGCAATTTATATGACAGCTATATGTTATAGTGATTCACCCTCGAAGAGCCACCCATAACAGCAGAAATCCTAAAAATAATCGCCGCAGAGTGACTGGCTGTACCAATGAATATGTACAACCCTGCCTCGAAGCCAGAATATTTCCTGCACCTTGGAAAAAGCAACGTCAGTATGTAAACAGTGGATCCCAAATATACCAAGAGCATACTATCTACTATGCATGCTTTACACAGCGGGAAAGCTCTATCAAAAGCTACTTAATCCCCGACTCGAAGCGCCTATCAACGAAGCAAGACTCTCCCCTGGGCAACAAGGCTTTAGAACGTCAAATCAACTCTAAGAACTATAAAATGCAAATGTAAAAACCCCACAGCGTAGATGGCAGAAACACAAAAAAAAAAAAAAATATTGTTGCTGGCAACTTTAATTGTCTGAAACGCCTTCAACAGCGCAAGATAGGTGGATATGCTCGACGCTCTCGAAAAAAATCCTTGAACTACCTCAGAGCTATGGTGTAGAGCTATTACAGAAAAATTCTGTACCAGACTAGAAAGCTTCACGACAGAAGAAGTTACGGCAGGAGCAGCACAAGGTTCCATTTTAAGCATGTACCTGTGGAACTTTAATATGACGATATGCTAAAACTTGAAATGCCGGACGAATCTTGTTTAATCCCATAACCTCCAGCCTTCTACAGAAAAAACGGAGCTATTACTGCTGACAAGTAACCATATATCTCACGAAATAAGCATTCAAACGACTAAGGATATTGTAAGGACACAAAAAGAAGCGAATTTCCAGACATAAGTTTGGACACAGATTACTTTCTGGGAAGCTGGTCATATGTGAAGCCCTGAGTAGGAACTGAATTTTCGACTGCTTGATTGCACACAATACAATGTAGATCTATGCATCGCAAAACCATCTCCTTGGCAGTACCTTTGAGCGATTTGAGGGGCGGGCAAATCCGTTGTAGAAGGAGTACAGTAAGGTCTTTCATGTATGGGTCAAAGTTAAGAAGGAGAGTTGGTGGTGGAATCTTCTGTCGGGGTCTCTCCATCAACTCTAGTTTCAAACTATCACAGTTCCATAGCGTATGTCAAGCGCAGGTGGCTACCATTAAGGTAGCAGAAGATTTACCTGAAGTGCTTTCCTTCAGAAAGTTGTGTCCTCACTCCGTTGGCCGAGCGTCTGAGGTCAGCAATTGCTGGCCAGCAACGAGAACTTGTACGATTGCGAAATCCTTCTTTTTCAAAGAGAACCCTAAGAGCTCCTTCAAACTTCTGGCTCTTAGCAAAGTTTCTTGATTTCATATTAGCTTAAATAAACTTGTTATAAGCTCAAAACGCTTCATGTGCCTAAGTATGAGGATCTGGTGATCCACTTTTAGAATTTCAGAGGAGACACAAAGAACGAATATCCTCGTTTTGGATCAACCTTATGCACTAACTTAACCGTATACGTATTAAATATTATTAAGTATCTTAAGTGCGGCACTTTTAACTTTAGACTATCCCCTTCAGCATATAAAAAGATACTATTGTCACTATATACTTAACCCGACTATGTCCTTCGAATCGGTCATTCCATTCGTATATACACCAAGCTGTTTAGTTACCTACTCCATTCCATTTCTACAATGTATATTCCAATGTATTTTCTTTCATTTTTCTGTGGAAACATAAACATTGCAAATCTTCCTGATTTCTTGCAGTCACCGTTATCTCAAATCTTCACGCGAGAATAGGCGTATCAACATTAAACAAGTCGTGGGAATACAAACACATCTTTTATACAGTACAATAATTTGTTTTTAAATTCTCTCCCACAATATAGAATAAATTGTGAATTTTATCAGTTGAATGTTAAATAATATGAGTAAGGTAATGTGAAAAATATATATTTGCATTTCTCCTAGCGATAGTGGCAAGCAAATATTGAGGAAGCGCGTAAGCCGATATGCAAATAACAAACAGAAAAAAGTAGGAGTTACTAATAGTATATTTTCTACGAAAATTAATATATTTTTGCTAACTATTATAAGATTGTACAAAGTTTCGCATTTTAAATTTGTGTTGTAATTGCGACTGTGATGAAGTTCTGTTTTTTGAGAATATTATATTTTTGCTGAGTGTATTAGCATTTAGCGATCCTAAATTAGGTCCAAAATCACTTTTAAATGAAGAAATCAAATCTAAGTATAACTAAAATCTAATATGCAGTGAAATTCTAACTTTCAAAGGGTTAAATTAATTTCATCAAGAATGACGAGAATGACTTTTATGAACAAGTGGAAAGGTCTAATAAAGACAATTTAACTTACGATACCAAAGATGCTTTCTAAGAGCGCTTGGAGCGCACCCTGCCCTATGCTTCGAGGTTCTAAGGTAAGGAGTGCCGTGTCGCAGTGGAGAGCAAGCAGACTATCTCCCTCGCAACGTTGCAATCGACCACAACACGTGCGGTATGGCATAGATACCGAGAGTTGACGAGGAAAGCTAGACGCATTTGCAGACAAAAGAAGAGAGAGGCCAAAATCCGTTAGTACGAAGAGCTTGACAAGCTGGCCGACATTGGTAATGCTCAAAAATTTATACGAAAAGATGCAGCAACTAACGATTTCAAAGCTGATACCAAACGAGGCTTCAGATAAGCGACTTACTATTGTGCCACTTCTTCAATCTCCTCCTGGAGAAAATAATTCGAGCTGCAGAGCTGAAAAGAAAAGGAAAATCTTCTACAAGAGTGTACAGCTGCTGAGGTACGCAGCCTTTAGTTCTGCTTTCTCCAGATTGGATATGAAAGCGAAGCAAAAGGGTCGATGTCGTAGATAATTTCGTCTATCTTGGAATTAGCTTTAACACCAACAACAATGTCAGCTCCGAAATGCAACGTGGAATTATTCTTCCAACCCTCCAGCTCCAAGAGTATTCGGGTAGTGCGCCGGGGAAGCCGAGGAGAGATGAGGTGGAGAAGAACTTAGCCACACTTGTAATCTTCAATTGGCGCCAAACAGCGAAAACGAAGGACGACTGGTGCGCTGTTATGAACTTAGCTATAAATGCTTAAACGTTGTCTAGGCCAATAAAGAAGAAGAAGACCTATTACTTAAATAATACTCTCCGCTATACGATAACCTAAATACGTGACTGACAAATCTAACTATTTACGCTAGTTTTAAGCAATTAAAATTTGAAATTTACTCATAACTAATTAGTAGTAGTAATATCAACAAAAATCTGCTAAAAAATTCATCAAATAAACGCCTCATTGGTAATCCCATTGTAAATATTGCTATATACATATGTTATTATCTATTCAATAAAATATGATTAATAGAAGTTACTCATACGCCCCCGCCAACAAGAACGCAATAACCAGGATGTGTGCGCCTAAGCTCCCCCTTATAAATCTATTTAACTGTCACTGTAACGTGAACATAAGCTTTCGCTCAATATTGATAGCAAGAAGCTAAGCACAAAACCGCTTCGTCAGCTGCTACGTAAGTCTTCCACAAATCGTGCGCAAAGCTACGCAGTCACTCGCAGGCAAGCAACTCGTTACTTCCAGAAATGATCGTTTCTCTGTTGAGATATGTACTTGTGTGAGTGTGTATGTGGCAGCCGATCGCTTAACAAACTCGCTACTGGATTAAAATAGCGCGTTTCGAGACCAAAACCGTTTAATAGTCCGTCAACTGCTCAACGGTAAAGCGGTTTAGCACAGCGAGCGCGTAAAGTAGCAAACGAATGTGAAGTGTAGTCAAAACGAATAAAAACAAGTTGTGTTAATAGTTATTTATCAACGGTTGTATGTTGTAAGTGACAGTGACAGCGTTTGGCGTGCGATTCAAGTGCGAACGTTCAACACTTGAATTAAGAAATTAAGCGCAGCTTTTGTGGTGAACAAATAAAGCCAAACAACATCAAAAAGCAACGCGAAAATTCATAATTTCAGTACAAAACCGAGACTATTTCGGTTAATTGGCGAACAGTAGGAAATTATTGTTGCCCAAGCATGAACGAGGTGTTGTGAATGGGCAAAGAAAATGTGGTGAAAGATATAGCAAAACGAAACTAGGCGAATTTGTAAGCGAATAATTAAATATAAAATGTAACTGTAATGCAGCGCTAAATACGGACTCTATTATTTTAAGCGATATACAAACGCAATACTTTAATATTTTTTAAAACTTACAACGAAATATGAACAAGTGGAACACATTGTAAACTTACAACCAAATGTGAACAAGTGAAACACTTATCGAAATTATATAATATCGAAAATTTAACAGGTAAAAACTGTATTTTGAACTAAAATAACAACATTTTAATTTTTATAAAGTTTTTCCAAAAGTAAAGTTTGTAACGTAAAAAGTGCGTCCAAACAAAAAATTGTGAACAAGTGAAACAACTCAGTATAACGAAATTTGAGCAACTAAAAATTATATTTTTGAAGCAGAAATTTTTATTTTTAAAAGTTATACGGAAATTTTGAGAAAGTTTTATGTAAAAATTTCGTCAAAATACTTTTGAACCTTAATAAAACAACTTTTGTGTCAGTAAATTACTAATTCTTGCACTGAAACTCTTGCGTATATAAAAAAAATGGCTTCATCCACGATTGCTCACATTTTTGCTGCAATTTTTGTTTGCTACCTCTGCGGCACATTGCAACAAGCTCATGCTGCCACAGAGTATAATCGTTATTTGGCGCATATTTTTCAAAAATATGGCACTGGTGGCACAATTTCATTCGAGGTGAGTGGTAAAATATACCTACTTTTTTTTTTAAATTAGTTTTAAAAGTTTTTTTAAGGAACCTGATTTTTACGAGAATACCTATCAACTTTGATGTAATAGAGTTTCCATAAA